TTTTTTTTAAATGTTGTTTTACCTTTCCCATTTAGATCCATAATTGACGTAGAATTGATATTTGTTTAAGGTGTGAGGTAAGGATCAAGATTCATTTCTTTTCTAGATGGCCTGGCACTATTTATTGCAGAAAGAATCCTTTCCCCCCAGAGCACTGAAGCATCACCTTTTCATTAAGTCAAGTGGTCATATATAAGTTTATTTTTAGACTCTCTGTTCTATTCCACTGATCTGTTTGTCTAGTCTTGTGTACTTTCACAAGGTTAACCTCCTACGATTTTGGTTGGTATTGTATTAAATTTTTAAGTCAGTTTTGGAGAGTTGACAGCTTAACAGCAATGCTTGTTCTGATCTAAAACAGGGTAAATCTCTGTGTGCCATCTTAATACCTATTAGCTATATACACATTACTGAACATCTATACACTTCAAAGTACAGATAGAAAGGTACAAAGACCTCTCTCTTCCTGGATCCCAAGGGCCTTCTTCACACTTTCTGTTTCCTGGCTTTCTCCTGTGTTCCTGAATGACTGACACTTAAAATGAGTTCACACTCTTATCGGCCCTTGGAGGGCTCAACAGGATACCAACAGGAAAACCCAACACAGTAACCTCAACAAGTATGTAATCAGGGCACCTATAGGACAGGACAAAGAAGGGGCTTATTCTCAGAGCATTGATCACTAGGAAGAGCATTAAAAACCAAAAGCAGAAAGCAAAATGTTTTCCCTTTAGAAAACCATGCTATGTGCCACCCTCGGATTCTTTTTCTCTTTTCTCCCTTTTTTTCCTCCTTTTTAAAATTAACATATAATGTGCTATTTTTTTCAGAGGTACAGGACTGTGAATCATCAGTCTTATCATAGCAATCACCATAGCACTTATCTGCCCCAGTGTCCATAGCCCAGACACCCTATCCCCTCCACCCCCCAGGACCCCTCAGTTTGTCTCCTGAGATTGAGTTTCTTATGGTTTGTCTCCCTCCCCGGTCCCATCTTGTTTCATTTTCCAACCCTTTCCCCCCATGACCTCCCTGCCCTGCCTCTTAAATTCCTCATATCAGAAAGATCACATGATAATTATCTTTCTCTGATTGACTTATTTTGCTTAGCATAATACTCTCTAGTTCCATCCACATTGTTGCAAATGGCAAGATCTTGGGGGTTTTTGATGGCTGCATAGTATTCCATTGTGTATATATGAACCATATCTTCTTTATCCATTCATCTGCTGATGGACATCTAAGTTCTTTCCATAGTTTGGCTATTGTGGACATTGCTGCTATAAACATCCGCCACCCTTGGATTCTTGTATGCAGTTCTGCTCACTTCACCTCAAAAATAATAATAATGATAATAATAATAATAATAATAGAATTGGAGAAAGGCCAGAGAAGGGTATCTGTGATGACCAGAGGGACTCCTTTGTGGTGACAGACCCAAACAAGACAAAAACCCATAAAAAAGGATATAACTTCAGCCCATGGTGCTAGTGAGTATGGATTAGGTGTATAAAGACCAAATCCTAGAATACCTGTTCGGCATCATCTCACTGACACTTTTAAAAGGAAAATTTCAGGCAAACACTGGTAAAAGGAAAACTGTGCCAAGCATAAAGGAACATAGAAAAATGAAGAGATGATGATTCCCTTAAAGGAAGAGGCTTTAAGGGAACCCAAGGCCACTGGCATATACATTCTCATATTTTAAAGCTTAACATTCCTTGGTTGTCACTGCTGGACAAAACCCTCCTTGAGAGAGGCCACCTATCAGTATGGCACAGTTTAAGTTGACAGCTAAATCTTGCTGTGATGTCAATTTCCTTTTGTTCAGCCTCCAGTGGGAACAGAGACTTTCTATATAATGATGCCTCAGAGACTCAAGGACCATGATTAAGTTAATCGTTTCTCAAGGTTGAATAGCCCTATCCCTTTTTATTTCCACTGTGGATCATAGTTGTTACAGCCATTTCCTCATTTCTGTGTCCTGCTTTGGCCCCTGTCCCAGTTCTCTGTGTCCCTTGAAAGTTGTAGAACCCTGAACTTAATACCAACTCTAATTTTGGCTAGAGTTTTTGGAAACAGTGTTTGCTCAGCAAAATACTCTCTTTGTTAACTTCTCGGAAAGACTGCTCCATTCATTTCTGAACATGTGTACATACATCCCTGCGACTCATGGTCATACCCATGTTCCTGCACACGAGAAAGGTGCCCACCTAGAGGAAGGTGAAGCCTAAGGCAATCCATATGCGGTAGCTTTTCCAATGTTTTTATGCAGAAGAATCAAATTTAAACTGACAAAATGAACTGATCTGAGCTGGGAAGACATCACAAAAGGACCACTAGGACCTTGTACAGGATAGGAGAGACAGGACACAGGGGAAGCTCAAGGGAGGGCCAGAGAAGATGGAAGGGAGGGGGAATCCCTTCCACTTTTCCTTGGAGCTGGCACTGTCAATTCCCAGCCTCCTGGATGGAGAACCCTCAAAGTTTGATGTAGGACGGTTCTGCATATACAACCCTCACGCATACACACCCCACTGCTTCCAACTGTGTCCTGAACAGAGGTTCCGCAACCATTTACTCATCACCACCATGGCCTTTAATGAAACTCAATGACTTTTCTCAGGGCCACCTCAAGTCCCACATACCAAAGTCTATTTGCTTATTAAGGGAACTCTGAAAACTTGTTTTTCTAAATCAAGCCAAGCCTGAGACCTCGCAGTGGCTAGGGAGGAAATCCCACCTAAACAATCACAGAAACTGAGAGCTGGAAGAAACTTGAAGTATTATGTGATCAAATGGATTTCAGTCTGATATACAGAGCCAGAGGGATTCCTAGTAGTGCCCCAAATTACTGGGGAGGACAGGAGTCTGGTCCCCACCATCTCTTCTACCAAATCTTTGAGCCAGAACTAGATTTTGTTTTCATTTTTATACATGCTTTTATGGGAAAAAATATCTTCAATAAAAAAATATTTGAAAATATTTGATTTTGTCCATCTACCTCCCCCAAATCAAAACTCCTCTTGATAACAAGCCTAGGGGTCTCTGGCTGACTCAGTCGGTTAAGCAACTGACTCTTGGTTTCAGCTCAGGTCATGAGATCCAGCCCTGCATTGGGTTCCATGCTCAGGGGGGAGTCTGCTTAAGATTCTCTACCTCTGCCCCTCCCTTGCGTTCTTGCGTGCTCGCTCTCTCTCTCTCAAATATATAAATGAGTCTTTTTTTTTAAAAAGTATATCATAGTCCTATGTATGGCAGCTTAATCATTCAAATAGTCTCTTCCACTTTTAAGGTTTTATGATTCTAACATACCTGGCAGGTAAGGGATTATAGAATGCCAGAGTTGAGAAGACCCCTTGTGATCATCTGGGCCCCAACCTCCTTATACAGAGGAGGAAACTGAAGCACAAAGAAGTGAAAGAACAGCAATGGGCCTTTCCTTGACCCCTTTCAAAGATGATGAGCTCACTCCTTAACAAAGAGCTTGTTCCAAAAATGGACTGAATAGATTTATTACATTTGCTTTGATCTCCATAACTCACCTTTTAGTTTAATGCCCTCCTGGTTTGGGCTGGGTCCTTTGAGCTCAAGGAGGAGAATAAAGAAAGGAAAGGTACAACTTAACTTCCCCAAATTTAAAAAATAGTAGCAGAGTGGGAGAGTGGGAGAAAGAGACAGGGAACTTCAGAAGCAGTGACCATCAGAGAGAGCAGCTGGGAGTACAGAGGGACTGAGAACCTGACCTGTAAGTGTCTGTTTAGCTAAACTCAGCCCTGCTCCCAACTGATGTCCTCTCTAGAAGACCTTCCTTTGGGTAGTTGTAATGTTCTACAAGGACATGTTACAGCAATGAATGGCATCGGTTCAGGCCCCAAAGCCCCCTAAGAGATCTCTGAAATATGAGATCCAGCTCTAGATGGGGTAACCATTGGACACGATGGCAAAATCCCAGAATGGCAGGGCTGGAACAAGTGGTTATAACATCAAGTTTGCCACTTATTTTACCTACCTGAGTCCCAAACAGAGAAGTGACTTCTCCTAGGTCCTAAGTCAACAATAAGGGCCCGAGTCTCTGATGCTCACTCTTGTGTTCTCTCCACTACACGACAGTAGGTGATGTATGTGTTGTGCTTTTCCTTTGTGAACTTGATGAGGAAATTCTTGTTGTTACTTGTATCCTGATTTTCTAAATGAGAAGAATGTGGCCTAGAATGATGGCTTACCCAGGTCCACAGAGCCTGAAGGCGGTAGAGCCCAATCTTACAAGGTCTTCTGATTCCAAACTCTTTGTTCTGCCCATCCCAAATCCCTCTTCTATAGGAGTTGCCTGTTGGGCTGGGGCCTGGGTGTATTTCCAAAACCAACTACTCAGCTGAAGAACTGTTCAGCCCTGGGCAGGCCTAGTAAAGTGTTCCTTGCCACCAGGGCAAGGAGAGAGGAGACTCTTGGTATGAATGAAGAAGGGCCCCTAAACTTCCCCTTTATTGACACTGTCTTGTGGCGCACTCCCTTCTCTATGAATCTCTGTTTCCACGCTTCTCCATTCCCTAGTTTCCCAATCCCCAATCAAGAAGCAAATCTGACAAACTCATCCTGAGGTCTGTGTTTGTTTTGCTCGTTGATACATCCCCAGGACATAGAACAGTACTTGGCACATGGGAAGTTCTCAATAAATGTTTCTGTGAATGGAGCACATAGTGTGTGGGTTAGTTGGAGGTCTTCCTCAAGAGAAAGGCTCTGGAGAAAACCACCAGAGGCAGAGGGCCAGTGAGAAGAAGGACTGAGGGCAATGGGATGGGTGTGAGGGTGACGGAGGATCAGAGGGGCCCAAAGCTATCGTGGGCGAGGAGATGGCATCAGAGGTAAGAAGGAAGGATTGACAGGGCATGAGGAGCCCAGAGGGTGAGGCATGAAGACAACTGAGGACATAAAGGATGGAGAGGGTTAGGGAGCCAAGGGTCTGATACTGCCTTCTCCCCATGGGTGTCCGTCCACAGAGCCGCTGGAGGGGGTGAACATCACCAGCCCGGTGCGCCTGATCCATGGCACAGTGGGGAAGTCAGCCCTGCTCTCCGTGCAGTATAGCAGCACGAGCAGTGACAAGCCCGTGGTGAAGTGGCAGCTGAAGCGGGACAAGCCAGTGACCGTGGTACAGTCCATTGGCACAGAGGTGATTGGCACCTTACGGCCTGACTACCGAGACCGCATCCGCCTCTTCGAAAATGGCTCCCTGCTTCTCAGTGACCTGCAGCTGGCCGATGAGGGCACCTATGAGGTTGAGATCTCCATCACGGATGACACGTTCACTGGGGAGAAGACCATCAACCTCACTGTGGATGGTAAACTGCTCTGACAGGGATGGAGAAGGGACTGGTCCTGAGATTTGGGCAGGTTCTGCCCAGTACACTAGCCAGATCCTGGACACACCAACACATAAGCCACTTGGGAGCTGAGAGTGAGACAGTCGGGCATCAGAGTTTTTTGGCAGACAGGACACAGCTAATGCACACGGAGTGCTTACTGTGGGCCAGAAACTAGTCTAAGTGTTTTGCATATCTTGACTCATTTAATGCTGATAATAATGTAGGCATAGTTAGTATAACTTACCCCCATTTTGTAGATACAGAAACTGAGGCACGAAGAGGTTGACTAACTTGCCCAAGGTCATACAGCTAGTATGTGATAGAGCCAATATTGAAACCCAGATGTTTGGAACATAGGTTTAGCCCAACTGAAATACGTTCCAGGCGGGGCCAGTTTCAAGACATCTTGAAAAGGCATTTGAGAAGAAGGAAGGGAAGGTTTGTGAGGGCAGGGCCCATGGCTGTCTTATTTAGTATTGTACCCTCTGTGCTTAGTATGTGCTCCACAAATAATCGGTAAAGAAATGAATGAATGAATGAGTGAATGAATGGGTGGATTATGTGGAAAGATTGGACTGATGATCCCTGAAGGGCCTCTCAGACCACAAATCGAGTTGCAACACGTTGGAAGGCAGGGAGTTACGAAGTGGAGGGGAGACACTGTTTGGCCCCGGCTCACAGGCTCCCCCACCCCTGGGACTCAGTGCCCATTTCCAGGCCACAGGTGTTAGTGGCTTCCACCACTGTGCTGGAGCTCAGCGAGGCCTTCACTCTGAACTGCTCGCACGAGAACGGCACCAAGCCCAGCTACACCTGGCTGAAGGATGGCAAACCCCTCCTCAATGACTCGAGAATGCTCCTGTCCCCTGACCACAAGGTGCTCACCATCACCCGCGTGCTCATGGAGGACGATGACCTGTACAGCTGTGTGGTGGAGAACCCCATCAGCGAGGGCCGCAGCCTGCCCATCAAGATCACCGTGTACAGTGAGTGCCTTGTCTTCTCACCCTGGGAACTCCAAATCCTGAGAGGCCGGCACTGTGAGGGACTGAGGACAGCCCAGACAGAGGGCCCCTAGATGGGGAGAGAGAGGCAGGGATGGGCCAGCTTTCCAGGGAGGCCAGCAACCGGTGGGAAGTGGGCTCAGCCGGCTCCGCCCGCCATAGGCCAGCCAAGCCCCATGGGGATCCTTTTCTCTTCCTTCTGCCGCAGGAGCTCTCCTCACCAGACTTGTTCCCCTCTGAACTCTCTCCCACCTCTCGACCTCTCTCTCTCTACCCAGGAAGAAGCTCCCTCTACATCATCTTGTCCACAGGAGGCATTTTCCTCCTTGTGACCTTGGTGACAGTCTGTGCCTGCTGGAAACCCTCCAAAAAGTCTGGGTAATTCTTCAAGTTCCACACCCTGAGCGCCCTAATCCTTCCATCCATCCCCACCCCATGCTCTAGTCTTCTCTCTTACTTAGTCTCTTAAATGCCCATCCCCCCAGGGCCCTGCACCTCTTCCCCGGAGATCCCTCTTAGCCTTGCACGTGCTACGTGCTGCGTGCTGCATGCTGCGTATGGGACTACATTCTGGGCTCACAACCTCCAACAGCCCCCCCACCCTCCCCAAACAATGGTTTCCCTTAGAGCACCTTTTGTGGGCGGGGCATGGTTGTTGTGGTTAATAACTGCGTTTTAAGTATGATTTTCCGCAGTTTACAGATAATAACACTGAGACTCAAACAGGTTGGGGACTTGCCCGCGATGCCAGCCACAGACTCGGGATGCAAACCTAGAGGCGACTCATTCCAAAGCTCACGGGCTATTGCCACTCCCGCTGCCCCCAGCCCATCCTCCTGTTACAAGGCCTCTCTTGTGGCCACCAGATTCCTCTCGCGACCCTGCCCCTCAGACCCTCCCCTGCTCACACTCGACAGTTCTGTTCAGAGGCTGTTGGGTTGATTTGCAGGAAGAAGAGGAAGCTGGAGAAGCAGAGCTCCCTGGAATATATGGACCAGAACGACGACCGTCTGAAACCAGAAGGTGAGCTCCCAGCCACCCACTCACCCATCCCATCGGCACTCAGATCAGTGGGCTGCTGGGAAAAGGCAGAAGTGGGCCTCAAGGAAGCCAGCTGTGCAGGGCCCCTTCCTCCACCAAGTGCACGAAGACTGCAGAGCAGGGAGACGTGCAGCCAAGGTAGGACCCCAGGTATTCTGGATCCTTTGGTGGAGGTTGTGGCGGGGCCTTGACCGGCCCCTCGGGGAGCGAAGAGTGTAGGTGCTGGTTGGTGGAAAGGGTCCTGTACGGTGCCAGCCACCCCCACTCTTCGCTCTGCGCAGCGGATACCCTCCCACGGGGCGGCGAGCAGGAGCGGAAGAACCCCATGGCTCTGTATATCCTGAAAGACAAGGTGAGCATACTTGGGTCGGTGCCCCACAAACACACAGTGAGCCCTACCGCGTTCCGGTGTGCCATAGCCACACGGAACTGCTCTCTCTTTATAGCACTCCGAGGAACCCTGGAAAATATTTGTGTCACCTGCCCTTTAGGGCTCAGAAAAATAAGGCTGACAGAGGTGAAATGACTTGCCCAGGATCAAACAAGTAAATACACATTAAGTGGCAGATCTAGGCTTCTAGGTCTCTGGATTCTAACTCTGATGATTCCCCCACTGTTCTACAACGGAGTCTGTCTCAGGCTGGGCCAGACAAGTGGGAAGAGGAGACTAAGGGCACAGAGCGCTCAAGTTAATGCATGTCAGCATTTACCGAGCACCTGTTACCTGCCAGGCCCACGAAGGGTCTGTATGGCCAGAAAAACCAGACCTCTGTCTGCCGCCTTGCACCGGGTGGGAGGGTGGAGGGAACCCTGCTCCTTCAGCTCCGTAAGCCCAGCGTCCCCGACGGGGCGCTCACTCTGGCGGCGCGTGTCCTTGCAGGACTCCCCGGAGCCCGAGGAGAACCCCGCCCCGGAGCCTCGGAGCACCACTGAGCCCGGCCCGCCGGGCTACTCCGTGTCGCCGGGAGTACCCGGCCGCTCGCCGGGGCTGCCCATCCGCTCGGCCCGCCGCTACCCGCGCTCCCCCGCGCGCTCCCCAGCCACCGGCCGGACACACACGTCGCCACCCCGGGCCCCGAGCTCGCCCGGCCGCTCGCGCAGCGCCTCGCGCACACTGCGGACTGCGGGCGTGCACCTGATCCGCGAGCAAGACGAGGCCAGCCCGGTGGAGATCAGCGCCTGAGCCTCCTCGGCACCCCCGGGGTGGGGGCGCGCCCTGCAAAGAGGCGGGTGCCCAGGGAAGGCTGGGGGTGTGGGGCGCGACCGCTGCCGCCTGGAGCCAGGGGAGGTCCCCGCGAGGGCGCGGGGGTCTCGTGTGGGGGCCCGCCTAAGCATGGGGACGCAGTGGGGCATCCAGGAGTGTCTCAAGTGGTGAAACCGGGTGGCGTTCGCTCCTGGTTTCACCGGCTGTGCTCTCAGTGGGTATGGGCTGTGCCCTTTTAGGACCATAGAGATTATTAAATTTCTGGCCCAATCCCCCAAGAGTCTTATGGAAACTAACATCAGTAACCTAACCCCCATGACTCTCCTGTGCCCTTCCTACCGAGCTCTGTGCTCCCACCCACCTTCCTCCCCTCTGAGCAAATGCCTGTTCCCGGGACACTTTCTTGGTAAGCTCGGATTAGAGAGGCCACTTACCCAAAAGGAACAATTGTCCTAAACTTGCCAGTTAGTGGGTCCGCAGAGGACAGTTCTGAGCATCCGGGGAATTGTTGTGAAGACAGTGACTTACAGCACCCTGTTCCGGGCATCTGGTACCTGGGTGCGCACCAGTTGGTAAGGCAGGAGTCAAATTCATTCCTTTGACCCCTGACCTGCACCCTAGCAAGGGCAAAGGATTCAAGCCTCCAGAGCTTGGCCTCCTCCCAAAGCCTCCATCAGTGGCTACCAAGCATTCTTTCCTTCTCTATTCCTGTAGAGAAGGAGGTTCTCACTCCCGTGACCAGAAAGCTAGATTAAGTGAAGGAATTGTTTTTTTGAAACCCTCACACCTATGCCTTCTCCCTAGCTTCCTTACAAAACAAGCCTTTCAAACAATCAGTATCCCTGGGAAAGGTCCTTGGGCTTCCTTCAGCTCTAAGAGAGTAAGGTTCCAGTCTGCAGAATGATGGTAGGGAAGGGGAGGAGGAGGAGGCTTACTGCTCCCCGGGATGGTAAGGAGACAGGCTCCAACGCTTGGCCTCCAGCCTCCCACCTGCCTTGTTCCAGGATACTTAGATCCCAGGAGATAGGACAAGGGCAGACTCCCTAATCACACAAGCATAGAGTTACAGAGAGGTTGGGCCCCTGTGTCGCCAGGCCATGCCCATGTCACTGCCTCTTGAACAGTTTGCAGGAGATACAGTAATCTACTGTGTGAGCAGTGAGGACAATTAAAAATCTGTAAGAGAAGGAGGGCCTCTGTGTTCTAATCTCCCGTCCCTGATGCCTGTAGGGGTCCTTGCATCCCTGGCCTCTCCCCAAATTCCTGAACTCCAGCCCTGACTCTCCACCATCCTACAGAGAAACACCCCTGTCCCCCACCACTCCCCGGGGCAAGTTTTGTTCCAGCCGCAAGGGCAACAACATTTCTAATTGGCCCCCTTCACCCTTACCTCTACAGCATACCCCTCCCAGCTCCCTGTCCCCGTGCACTTCTCCAGGCTCACTGAGCAGGTGCCTTTGCCGCTTTCCCTTCTTGGCCAGAACTCCTCCCCTAACTTTGGGTTCTTCATCCAGAATGAGATCCTGCCTGCAGGGGAAAGTTGCTCGGGCAGGTGGGAGATGCAGGAGAAGGGGTACAGGCTGTTCTGCGTTGGGAGGCAGGGTTGAAGTAAGGGGCAGAGGAGAGCATGCTGTACTCCATGGCCTGGGGCTAAATCCCTGAGGGGCCAGCTTCCCAGGCTCAAGCCAAATCTGCCTTAAATCTGGGGTAAGGGGGGATAAGTAAGGAAGTGGTTTTGTTTTTGTTTTGTTTTGTTTTGATCTTCATCTTTGTATTACCAGCATCTAGCAGAGTGCCTAGCACATACTGGATGTTCAATAAACTTTTGATGAAATGAAAGGACAACTTTATTGCGCTTAAGCAAGGAGAACAAAACAAGGAGCTTAAAAAGCTAGTCATTTCCCTTTTCCTTTTGCTTCTCGTCTTCCTTTATCATCCTTCACCCTCTTTGCAAATCCCGAGTTGTCCACTCCAAAATCAGCACTCACTCACTCACCCACTCACTCATTCATTCATTCCAGTGCTCCCTCATTTATTCAACCAATGTGTTGATCTACCTTGGACTAGGCCTGTGTGAGACACTGGGGAAACAGTGTTAACTATGCCATGACCCTTAGCCAGAAGACAGTCCCATGGAGGAAGACAGGTGAGTAAGCAGGTTATTACAATACAGTGTGGAAAATGCCATGACTGAAGTTGCTACAGCAGGTCCTGAGAGTTTGTAAGAGCATCATCTAACCTAGATTAGGGGTTGCCAGCCAAAGTGTCTTGGAGAACGGGCTTGAACTTAGTCTTAGAGAGATTAGTTAATCAGGTGAGGAAACAGGATGAAAGAACACATATTGCCGGGGAAAGGAGCAGCCTGTATAAAAGTTTGCAAGTATAAGGTGAGTCTAGACTACTTAGCACTCATAAAATGTGGATTGTCCAGAAGCAAATGTTTATTTTAGCACAGTAATGGAAGACTAGACTTCGGTTAGCGGCAGGGTGGGGGAGCTGAGCCCGAGACTCCTGGATTAAGTTGGTATCCCAGAAGGGAGTCCCAAGCTCCCAAAATAAAAATGCAAATCCTCCCTGGAGAAAGGCATCTCCTAAAATTTTCAAAGATTAAGATCAAGCAGGTATGACCATGAAAGGCTGCTAAACATAGAAGGAAACAAATCACCATGAGTGAGAGTCAGCTGATAGAAGAAGCAGTAAATTTAGAACCCAAAGGCCCTCAGATATTGAAATTATCACATTAGAATATAAAATAACTACGAAATGTTTGAAGAGATGAAAGACAAAATTGTAGAAATGAACCAGCAACAGGGGACTGTCGAAAGTGACCAAAGTGGAACAGGAACAAAATAGAACTATTACAAATAAAAATGGAACTTACATAAATAAAAATGCAAATAAGAAAATTAAACAGCACACTAAGTAGAGTTGAAGAGAGTTAGTCCAATTGGAAGATGGGTGTGAAGAAATGTCTCAGAGTAAGGCACAGGCCAAGAAGAAGATGAAAAATATGAAAAAGATAGTAAAAGATATGGCACGCAGAATGAAAAGATCTAGCATGTATTTTGTCAAGAGCTCAAAGGGAAGAATAGATACATGGAAGAGAGACGATATTTTAAGAGTAATGACTGAAGTTTTTGTAGAACTCATGATAAATGTAAATATACAGATAAAGGAAGGGTATTAACACACACGACATAAATTTTTAAATTTCCACTTTTACGCAAAATATAGTAAAAGCAGAGACAAAGAGAAAATGTTAAAAAGCATCCAGAGAGAGAAAGATGGGTCTTGCATGTTCACACAATAATAAAAATCACTAGAAAGTGGAGTGTATCTTCAAAATAATAGACACAAATAACTATTAGCCCAGATTATTGTACCTAGCCAACCAATCTTCTAAATATGAGGACAAAATAAAAGTATTATCAGATGAACAAAAACTACAGTTTACCATCAACACTATAAGAATTCCTAAAGGGTCTATTTTGGGAAGAGGGAAAAGCAAGATTTGAGATACAAAAAAGAATGGTGGGTAAAAACGTAGGCAAATCTATAATAGTGCCTCATAAAATGATGGTAATAGTATCTAATTTGTACTTTCCAAAACCTGACAAATAAAATACAGGAAAATGATAGCCTATAAATTGGGAAGGATATTATCCGAATGAAACTATGGCAAGATTCTTGAATTCTTTGCAGAGGGGAGGTTGTTTAAGATAGTAACTTCAGATTTTATTAAATAATCAAGGAAACCTTATCAGGGTAACCACTAAAAGAATAGAATGAGAGAATTGGTTTAAATTACAAAACAATAAAAAGGGAAAAAAGAATAAAGAAACAAACATAAACTCAATTTTTTTTAAGCCAAGAAAAAAAAAACTAACACAGGAAAAGTGAAATAATAGAAAGTCAAAAATAAGATGGTAGAAACAAGGCAAAATTAAAAATAAATTGTAAATCGCCTAAATTCATCAGTTAAAATACTTTCTGTTGGGTTATATTTTTGATAATCCAGCCATATGTTATTTAAATGAAATACACCCAATACAAAGATTTGCAAAAAAGTTGAGAATAAAGTAGCGGAAAAAGGTATACCAGGCAAACAGCAAGCAAGAGGAAGCTGGGATAACTATTAACCATAACCACAAGACACATGGACTTCGGGACAAAAAGCCTAATTAGTGAGATGATCTTACATCCTGTTTGCCTGAGACAGTCCTGGCTTACTTCTGTTATCCTAGCAACAACCAGTATGGCCTTTGACTCCCCAAAGTATCCCAATTAAATAGATCGCCTCCTTTAATATTAGGACTAAGTGAGGTGCCTTGAATTTGAATGCAAATAATTTATTTCAGGAAACACCAGTAGAGTGTAAGGAAGTAGATCAGGAAAGCAATCAAAGTCAGTAAGGGATATGTTATGAAACCAGTTAAAACTGTGGGAAACTGGAGCTCAGTACTATGGGGGACTATGGGAGAGCAGTGTTGAAATCAGATTTTAGATCAACAGATCTCAGGGTAATCCCAACTGAGAGACAAGGCAGCTGGGGTATTATCAGCCAGATCTCCATGCATCGTGAGCCTTAGCACCTAGTGCTTCTAGCTTGCCCTGCATGTGTCCAGATTTGGTCCCCAAACGGAAAGCAGCCTTCAGCTAGAGGTAACTTCTGAAGAATTGTACATGGAACCTTAGTGGTGTCTGCTACAGAGGGTAACTACAATTATTAAAAGATTTATTTCACCAAAAAAAAATAAAATTGAATTGTGTGTATCTGACTAACCTCAAAATATACGAGATACATATATATATGTATCATACTTTTCTTAACCATCCAGGTTGTTTCCATATCTTGGCTATTGTGAATAATGCTACAATGAACATAGGACTGCAGGTTTCTTTTTCTCTTTTTAAGATTTTATTTATTTTGTTGACAGACAGAGATCCCAAGTAGGCAGAGAGGCAGGCAAAGGGAGAGG